ACTTGTGCAGAACTACCATTTGGCCGGCCAAATTATATTTTTTAAAGTCTGGAACCGCTAGTCCTCCCCGAAACCAGGGCTCCTGAAGGGTAGCAAGTTTTATCCTAGGGACTTTTGAGTCCACAAAAAGGAGCTGATGAGAGCATTAATTTTATGGGGGAAAAATTGAGGGACCCAGACAGAAGAATTCCAAAGAAAATATAAAAAAATGGGCAGAATGTTCATTTTAATGAGGTTAACCTTGCCTATAAGTGATAGGGGAAGATGTTTGGTCTGTGTGTCCAGGGGCACTATATGGGACGTAGACCAATTGACCCTCAAGCCTGAGAAGGTCGCAAAGGTGTCTAAAACACTCAGGGCTGCCTATAGTGACGGACCGGGATCCGCCAGAAATAAGAGAAGGTCGTCAGCGTATAGTGCCAGTCGCTCCTCCTATGCCACCTTTTTTAAAACCAGAGATCTCCCGCGAGGAACATAAGACAATAGCCAAGGGTTCCATCACTAGTGCAAACAGACTCAGGGACAAGGGACAACCCTGACGAGTTCCCCTCTCAATCACGAAGGCCTCAGACAGGAGAGATCCAATCTTAAGAACTGCCCTAGGGGCGTCATACAGGAGACTAATCCACCTTCTGAACTGAGGGCCAAATCCCATCAATCTGAGCACCTCCTACATGTACCCCCAATTGACAGAGTCAAAAGCCTTGGCCACATCCAACGAGACCAAGGCTCTAGAGCCTGTATTATCATGGGTGAGCTGGAGATTGGTAAACAATCTGCGTAAATTAGTGTCTGTAGACTTGCCAGGTATAAACCCGGTTTGGTCTGTATTAACCAAGGATCCAACGACCCTGGAGAGGTGGGTTGCTAGCACTTTAGTCAGTATTTTTAGATCCATATTTAACAGAGCGATAGGTCTGTGCGAGGAGCATAAGAGGAGATCCTTACCAGGCTTAGGCAGCAAGACAACATGGACCTCCTTGAAAGAATCAGGAAGGACTCCCCAATTCCAGACAATCCAGATATAAGTCCCTGAGCCGGGGGGGCAAGGGAATCGACATACTTCTCATACCACTCTGCAGGAAAGCCATCCGGCCCAGGGGACTTTTCATTAGGGAAGGAGGCTATTGCTGACTGCACCTCCAGCACCGTAATGAGCGCCCCCAAATAGTCCCTGTCAGAGCGCTCTAACATTGGTAGTGAAAGCCCACCCAATAAGTTTTGCAGGGAGCCCAGGTCATATTCAGGAATACGTGATTAGAGGGACTTATAGTAGGTGAGGAACTCCTGTAAATAAGAGAGGCGTTCGTAACTCTAGCGTCACTGTCAGTTAAAATGGCAGGTATGTTCGTTTTTGACCTTTGTTCCGCTACAAACATTGCCAAAACTTACCATGTTTGTCCCCCGTTTAAACAGGGCTTCCCTCGACTGCTGCAAGGAGCACTGGGTCAGCCCTACATGGTGGAGGTGGATGGGACGCCTGGCTTGTTTAAGGGCAGCTAAAGTGGACTCCCCAGGTGAATCTGCATAAGCCGCCGCACTAGCAGCCTCCTCGTCGTGTAATGTTGCTAGGTCAGCACAGTGCTTCCGATGGACAACCTTGATACCTGAGATATAGTCCCCCCTGGTATGAGCTTTAAAAGCATCCCAGACCACCGGAGCAGATGCAGTGCCAGCATTGAAATGCCAATAGGCGTATTGACCTGCAATCAGCCGGGAATCCAGAGAAGGGACAAGAATGTTATTAAAGTCCCCAGCAATAAGTACCGGCAGAGGAAGATGTTGTGCAAGTTTATCAAGGATAGCATATAAAACCTGTACATGAAATGGTGGAGGTACATATACACTGACCACGGCCAACTGAGTGGCTTGAATGTCGAGAACCACAATGACAAATCTACCGCCAGGGTCTGTGATCGTATGCAGAATGGTGCATAGAAGGGATTTACTGATTAGCACCTAGGCACCCCGGGAATATGCAGAGTAGGTGGCATGCACCGCTCGCTGTATCCAGGAGCGCCCCAGAGCCAACACCCTACTCCCATCCAAGTGAGTCACCTGCAACAGAATAGGGACCTCTTAAACTTATTGTTTAAACCCCGTGCATTCCAGGAAACCACCATGATGTCATCCAAACCCATGATACCATATGGCACATGGAGATGGAGACAGCTCCCACATTGGCTGCAGGTGGGATCCAGGACGACACACAGCCCCCCAGGGCCCAATAAGAACAAAACAACCCCTCTTCCCAAGGAAACATATTAAACATAACATCAACATTGTCCCGGGAAGTTTAAGCCCAAAACCTCAAAAAGAACCTAATGTTAAGCCTGATGAAGGGACCCTGCGTTGTCCCGAAAGCGCTTGTTTTTCTGACGAGGAACTGCAAATAAATGAACACTTTGCTATCCTAAAAGAATTTGGTGTGCTGGTGACATTTCTATATATTGCTCATGTTTGCCAGACAGTGCCTCTTTCCAAATGCGACCATTGCAATCAATGGGACCATGCAACCCACGCGTTGAAACTGAAAATCCACATTGGGATAAAAAGAAAATGGCATTCAGGAGGTAGCTGTATCGCCTTCTAGCTGCTACTCTACCACCCTCTAAAAAGTGATCCACCGCCCGTGTGAACAAGGCCTTTAATAATTTTGCTTAAATCATGCTTTGATCTCTTATTAAAACTTTGGAAATATGTAAGAAATAAAGCAGCAAACATATCTCTGAAACAGATTGTACTACATTGGCTGCAAGCTTTATTTTCAAGCAAATGGCAGAAAACCTCTCTGCTAAAAACTTTGAACTTATTTGAAAAATGTATATATAATTTATATATTTACTATCCAATATACTTGTATATCATAAACAAAAAAAATGATTTTCTACATTAATTAACACAATTTAAGCTGAAATTGATCACATCATCTCAAGCATGTCCAAAAGGACCTTCGACTCCAGATAATCATTCAAAGCAATAGCCAGATGGCTAATCAAAGGTCAGGAGGGTGTTGTTTAAGGTGAGATCACACAGAGTCTTGATGCCCCTGCACCCCTTGGTATTCCACGGCTTCACCACATCTACTAATTTGAAATACTGGAAACGCAGCCTAGAAACTAGCAACCTCCTACACCTGTGGTTTTTCTAACATTATTCACATTATTTTTGGCTTCAACATAAAAATTACTCCACAACTGTCCGTTTTAAATTTAAACTGTGATCATGATATATTAAAAAAGGCAACCTTTTGACCTTGTTAAAGTTCTTTGCCAAAATAACTGTACAAAGATATTGTAATAAAAAGAGGGCCCCATCTCTATCCTAGTGGTTACAGAAATTAACTTATTTTGCCAAATGTAGGAATTGTGATGGAGAGACCCAAGGAAATATATTGTACTCTTTTGTTTGGTCTTGAGCCCACTAGATCAAATGTCATGATATGGGATCAGGCACAGAGTCCATTAGCTGAAACAGCAAGCAAATTTGTGGTATAACAGGCTGGGTTTGGTACGCAAGCAGACGGTAGTAGTATGGGAGCAGGTAGAAGCGTAGTCCGAGATCAAGCTGAGGTCAGTAGCCAAAGGTATTAAGCAGAAGATGATGAGCATAGTCATTGAATCAGCAGCCAAAGGTCGGTACATGGATAGCAGTTTGAGGGGATTGTATCCTAGTAGGGGCAAGAAGCAAGATATCGGCAGGAGCACAATAATCTGGCAAACAGGCTTAAATAGAAAGTTTAAGGGAGAAGCAAGGAGTTCAGAGTTCAGCAGAAAACTGAGTTTAACTGAGGATTGCACGCAAGATCAGGCAAGGAGCTATCCAAGGTTTCAGGGTGGCTCAGCAGGTAGAACTACCGCCAGATACAGCTGAGGCCCTGGATCCAGATCCTGACATCAAGATTCTGAAAACTAATACCTACAAAATGTTTTGGTGGTGGTTGCTACATGCTATGTTAATTCACTTTATTTTATATCAATCTTTGTTATATGTTTTGTATTCAAGTGTTGTATTGTATGAGGGAGCCTAGTTTCTAATTTCCTCACCAGAATGCATATTTTTCAGATACAATTGTTGGATTGGATTGTTTGGATTGTTTAAATGATTCACATTTAGTTTTTAACTATAGGCGTGCTCTAATGAAAACAAGTCAGGAATGTGCATTTAAGGATCTAAATTCCCTGTGTGTGCTGCTAGTTAGTTGTAATCTTTCCTTATCAGAGCAGAAATGTCCACTCAGCACCAGACTGGTAAAGTAAACATTTATATTTGCAAAGTGATAATAAAAGCAAATCTGTGAGGATAGAAACAAAGGACCTCCCAATGTTAACTTGTTTGAAAAAAACGTAAGCTATCATACTGATTTTCTCTGCAATACGTTTTTCTGAAGTGGAAAACAAATGCAATCAGAGAAGTCTGAAATCTCTAAAATCTTGTCCTACATACAGCAAATTAACATTTTGTCCATGAAGTTGATCTGTTGTTAGAAGCAGAAAAAATAGGCAAGCATAAGGATTTGATTGACTTGGACAAGGGCCAAACTGTGATGGTTAGACAACTGGGTCAGTGCAACTCTAAAACTGCAGCACTTGTAGAATGTTCCCAGTCTGCACTGGTCAGGACCTACCGAAAGTGGTCCAAGGAAAGAAAAACGGTGAACCATAACAGAGTCATAGGCGGCCAAGGCTTATTGATGCACGTGGGGAGCGAGTGTAGCTCAAATTGCTGAGAAAGTTCATGAAAGGTGTCTAAACACACAGTGACTTGCACTTTGTTACATATGGGTTTGCGTAGCCGCAGATCAGTCAGGGTGCCCATGCTGACACATGTCCACTGCTAAAAGCACCTACAATGGGCATGTGAGAATCAGAACTGGACCACGGCACAATGGAAGAAGGTGGTCCGGTCTGATGAATCATGTTTTCTTTGGATCAAACTAGCCGAACAACACATCATTATATGCATTGACTGATACTTATTTCCCTTTATTTTATATTTAGCTCTTCTAGATCTCCCTGTCCAACCATCGAAGGAAGTAGTGGGTTTTGGTCACACCTCCACATCGTCAACTCAGCATTTGCCCTTTAGGTTTTATGAACAGTCTCGACGTGTTGGAAGTGACCTTACAGTGCAGCGTTCTGTTTTTGCATCAGTTGACAAAGTACCAGGTGAGTACAAAAGGCATGTGTGTTTAAGAGGAACTGGGTTTAAAAAAAAGGCAGGTGCCAAAATCATAATGTATAAAGTCTAGATTCAATTGTATGTAGACTCTTATGTCATAAAAAGTCAACATGTTTCTGGGTTCAAAGAGTCACCTTCATCAGAGCTTGGTACTGTTGAACTGTGCATAAAAGATTTTTTGAGTCACCACGAGAATGGAGACACCACACCCCTTAATTGAGTATATACCAACAAGAAAAAGGGATCAGGCTTATAAGGTGTCAAGAATGGCAGAGATATAATTCAATGATGAAAAAGAAGTCATTGATTAAAATAATGTTAATTTTTTATATTTAAAATATACATGATCCATACAGTATATGAATAAAACCATATACATCGCCACTAATATCAAACAACATAGAACCTCCCTGGAACTTGTACAGATACATAGTATGCACATGATCAAAACAATATACTTTTTTTACAAACATCAATTTCCTTATAATTAGGGATGCATCGATACCGAGTATTTGGGTGAGTACTCGTACTTGCCCAAATCCTCCGATGCCTAGCCCGATACTTCCTGTATCAGGAAGCCGGGCAGCGTGTCATTACACGCTGCCCGGTTTCTTGATTGGCCGGGAAGCGGTTCCATGCTCTCTTGTCACTTGTGACGAAGCTAGCCAATCAGGAAGCCGTGCACCGTGTAATGACCGGTATCGGTGCATCCCTACTTATAATATATTTTTGTATAATTTGATGGATAATCATATTCATCATAAAGTGATCTGTAGTTCTGTACTGTATCCAGCCTTCTACGTGTTTCGCCGAAGCTTCATCAGGAGTTTGGAGGTAGCCTGTAGTGTTCATATGGATACGGTGTTAAGTACACCAATAATTACATATTCATTCATTAATATTGCCATATTGTGGTTTATCTGTAGGAGAGAATCCCATTACCTAACAGTTTATTAGCAAATGATTGAGCCACCTTGTAAAAAAAAAAATTTTTTTATCAAGGAATAAGTGAAGGGCAGTAATGGGTCTTCAAGCTGTTTGAATTTGTAGCACCTGTATGGGCTGCTATGCCACTGACCTCACTATGGAAAAAATATCTGTCAAAAATGAGCAAATCATGTGTAATTAGTTTGTGTAAAAGAATATAAAGCATGGTTGTAACTGTCAATCCCAGGATCCAGTACTTTATTTGTTAGGCGTTTATGTTATACATAATTATTGAGCATACAAGAAGCCTTAGTGACTAAAAGCTTAGCTTGCACATACATAAAAGTATAAATATAGGTTACAGACTCTCAATAACTCCATATGTCAGAACATAAATGCTACTACTAGTCAGTGGCAAGAGCTTAAAGTGTATGTAAATCCTAACAATGAACTTCGTATTTGCTCCCTTTTGGTCTGTTCGATAACTGCAAAAGTTACTGTGCTCTCTACCTCTGCTAATTCCTATCAGTTATATTGTTTCAAGCTATCGCTGAGAACTCCAGAACACCCCTACATCCACTATGTTATGTGGAAGAGAAGATGGGAAGGTGTCCTGTGGTCCTGTCCTAGAGTGCCAACATGGCTTCTCTATTATACAGTATAGTCAGTAGACATTGTTACCTAGAACACAAAAGTGTGTTATTGCCAGGGTCATATAGTCAAAATAAAAAATATGAAAAAAAGAAAACTGCTGCAGCTATCACATCCTATTAGGACTGGTAAGCTGCAATATATTATATTTTTGCTTTTTTTAGAATGCCATTAACATGTCTTGGCAGTTAATGCATCCCATTCAAAATGAGATCCAAATACTAAAAAAGCAAATTCTTTATTACTTTATTATTATTGTTAATTAGCACCAACAGTTTGTGCAGCCCTTTGCAATATAAGGAAGACATAAAAGTTACAATACAAGTCAAGACAAGATGGTAAGGAGGGCTTACAATCTAAAAGAGAGGGGGAAGTGATACATGAGGAGGTAGCTGTGTGAGGATGAATTGTTTGAGAACGTGAAGGTTGAGTGGTTAGGTTGAGGTGGGATAGGCTTCCCTGAAGAGATGAGTCTTAAGGGATCGCCTAAAGGAAGTAAAGAGTTCCAGAGGATGGGATAGATTCTAGTGAAGTCCTGGAGGCAAGCATGGGAGGAGTTGATGAGGGAGCTAGAGAGCAGGAGGTCTTGGGAAGAGCAGAGAGGATGGTTAGGGTGATACTTTGAGATGAGGTTGGAAATATAGCCAGTGGCTAAGTTGTGGATGGCTTTATAAGTGGTTTTTAATATTTCGACTTTTATCCTTTGGGTGACTGGAAGCCAGTGGAGGAATTGGCAGAGGGGATTGCAGACACTGAGCAGTTGGTTTGCTGGATGTGTCTTGCATTGGTAAGGACAGGGTTTTTTTTTTGGAGATGTTATAAAGGTGAAGGCGGCATATGGAAAGGTGAGGTCCTATTTAAGGATGACACCTTGTCATGGAGGGAGGGTGAGATAGTTGTGTTATCAATCTCAATGGAAAAGTTGGGGGAAGGTACATGGGGGTGAGGAAATATCATGAGCTCAGTTTTTGAAAGGTTGAATTTTAAGAAGTGTTGTGACATCCAGGCTGATATGTCAGTTAGTAAATTAGTGACACGCAGGGACACTGAGAGGGTGAGTTGTGCAGTGGAGAGATAAATCTTTAGTATTAGGATTAAATGAATTCCTTTTTTTGTCTGATATGGAATCATATACTATAAATGGAAGATGTAGATTACACTAAAAAAAGATAAACAAAATTAAGTAAATAAAATCAATTTAAAAACCCCAAAAAATGTTTAACCCTTTCAGCGTCTTAAGGTGATTAATCTTCATCAATGAATGTCCAGT